TCACTATTCCTTTGACACATGGGAAAATAATGTTGAAAGTTATGCCAAAAAAAACTTTACGCTGTTAATCCAATGATAAAAGAATCTTACCCCAACAAGTAGTATGTAAGATTTCATGAATAAGAATGTCAAAGTAACATTTTGACAGACTTCTGGGGGAGAAAAAGGAAACTAAATGTAGAGGGTGTTAAGCTTAGTTTTCTAGCATTCTTGAAGAATTCGTAAAAACGTTTATAATCCTTAATGCATGATTGCACTTAATCTCGGGAAAAAAATTTGCAGTCTAAAACATTTTTTTTTCATGCTTTAATTTCACCATGCTTAAATTCAATGTATCATGTTTTAATTTTCATCGGATATATAATTTATTTGCTAATAACTTAGAATATAAGTTTTAAAATAAACCAAGACCTGCTGCGGTTCGCAATTGATGTTCTTTTACTTTATATTATAACCATCGTTGTGTGACCTTGTAATTTTGGACCCAATCCAGAACACAAGGAACTCCTTAGGGAAAATTTTGCCTTCGTGAAGGACTTTTAGAAGGGACTAACCTGCATTTGCGTTACATGAAGAGGAAAAGCACGAAAACCTTCCACAGTTGACCTGACAGCAAGAGTTCTAGCCCATGATTCGCCAACATGTGAGGATATTTTACGTCAGATCTGTGATCGGTTTGAGCGAGGTGCGGAATTTTTTCGACCATTCATCGCTGGGATTCGAACCCGGGTCAGCTCATTGGGAAACGACCGCTCTATATCCCCTGAGCCACCATGGCTCTTCAATTTATGTTTATATAAATCTTGGATAGAGGAGTTGCATGTGCATTTTGTGGATTGTTAATTGCTTTATAACCGAATTAAAAAAGTTCTCATTCAAGTATTTGATAATGTTATTAAGAATGAATCACTGATCAGATCACGATGAGGATCTGATCATGAGAGAGCAGCTGATAAATATGATAACAAGTGGGCCCGATCGGTTGAAATATTAAATGATTGCTTTTTAACGATGAAAAAAATGCATCACAATCTCTGAGGAAGTTATTTTTAATATGTAGGAACAAAACAAGTGCAAAAACTGGGATCTTTCGGAAGTAATTTTTCTTTACATTCATAAGTTACAAATCAAAAGGTTGTGCGTGGATTGCTGTAGAATGTAAAATATATACTGAATCATGGAGGTGGAGTTTCCACATTTCTCATAATCCACTTCCCTCTCTCCTCGTTGAGTATATCAGTACTAACAATTACGCAATTAACGATCAAATAATTTAAAATTAATTTATTCCAAAAACAATTTCATTTGACTTATTTAGTAATATAAAATTTCGAAAATATTCTTAATGATATTTTTATTTTAAATTTCATTTAGCAATCATGGATACTATTTATTTAATAAAAATAGAAAAAAAATTACTTTTTGATAAAAAATAAATAAATGAAAGATTGGAACATAAAATAGAAAATAAATAAGTATTAGTAAATTAAAATACTAACTACTTACTTCTACTCCTTCGGTAAATAACGTTAATTTTTTTAAACTTGTAATTATTTTTGCAATGTTAGAAATATATCAAGGAGAAATTTCAATTGTTCCGTTTTAAAGTTAATATTGAAGATTTTCGTTTCAGTCTGAACAAGATATGAAGTAAAATATTTTCCCACAGGAAGCATTAAATTTCTCTTATTTTACGACAGCAATAAAATGCTCTATTAACTGGTTCATCGGACATGCGAAAGTAAAAACTACAACGAACGTGAAAATGCTTCTGGGAATATTTGTTGGAAGGTTACTTTTGCAGTTACTTTTGGAGTTTAATTATTTGTTATTGTTACTTTTTGGTTATTTGTTACTTTTGGAGAATTTCAACAGTGATTTTTCCCTCTTTGTTCCACGCTGCTACTAATAAAAAGTTTGGTAATTGAAAAAAAAAAAACTTTAAAAAAATTAATTGCTTTTAAACATGAAGAAAAGCTTATGTGCACATTTAAAAAATATTTTTTTATTTTTTTTTATATTTCCAATGGCAGGCCAATTTAAAAGAACAAAAAGGATAAAATAACAAGAAAAAACAAGACAAAAAGAGATAAATAGAATTGAATGCATAGTGACATGCTTAGCCCATACGGGCCCACGGGCCCTAGCCTCCCAGTAGCGTTCACACACAGTAGTGAAGATGAGCGCAGGGCAGACGGAAATATGGGGCAGGCCCATGTCCTCCCCAAGGCGACAGAGCTTGCATTTAGGACAGTCAAAAATGTTTACACTAAAAAGGTGTTTGGCCAGACAGTCATGGCCCGTTACAAGTCTAAAGAGAGCGACTGCCTTAAACCTGGCAGTCGCTCTCTTTAGACTTGTAGAAAAAAATTATCAACAACAATAATAAAAAAGAAGAGTTTTTAATAAAAAGATTCAAGTTTCTCAGAAAATCTAAATTTTATAAGTAAACTTTACAATGGAGAGAAAAATAAATGGAAAAATTTAAATCAGTAAATATTTCTTTCCAACAGAATTATGAAGAAAAAAAAAATAACAGTGTAAATAAATAAAAAAAAAATTTTTTTTTTTCTTTACGCTTTCAGCTTTGCGAATCTTAAATAGTGATTTTTCAATTTTATTTTTTTACGCGTAGAAACAAATTTAAATTTGAAAAGATATGTTTAAAAATTTCAAAGCATGCATACATAAAAATATATTTTGAATTTCACTTAAAAAGTTTTTAATAAAAAAGATTATTATTGATTGTAAAAAATTATTGTCGAACAAATAAACTTTGATATTCTTTAAAATCTGTTATTTTGAATGTAAAACTTGCTATATGTCTTTCTCACTAACTACATGAGTTTCAATATATAAATCAGATTATCAAAAATGTAAAATCAGTTCTCGTATGTGCGCCTTAGCATTATTTTCCCACAGTAACAATGAATATGAAAACGTTAACATAGCACTAGTATAATTAACATTAGTATAACACTTTTTAAACTCAAAGCAAATTAATTTATATATATATTTTATGGCATTTTTCAATTCAGACTAAAATATTTACATTCTTTAAACATAATTTCATTGGATAATAAGTCTAACGTTAGAATTAAAAACGCTATAAGCTCAATTTTAGTAAATATGAAAAATCAGCTTTAAGATAATGTTAGGAATATCAAGAAACATCTAAGAATCATCTTTTTCGTTTGAAAACAGCTCTATTAAAAAATTTGGAAAAATAAATTTACGTTTCAAATTTATAGTCAACCGCAACATGTTTTTAGAAATTTACGGTTTTTTAAAAATAACACTTAATCAGTTTCTTAAAACAATACAACGAGATGATTTTTAGTAATTCATTCAGTTAAGATTGTTAACTTTTTGAAAATATAAGAAAATTATAGAAGTAATCTGACAATTAACGGATTGTAAAATGTAAAATGGACTAATTATCAAACAGACGGAATAGAGAAATGTAAATCAATCGATAGAAATAAAATTTCCTTCTTTGAATTTCGCAGCAAGTAGTAAAGTTTAGCTTAAATAAAAATAATGAGTAGAGCAACAAATTTAAACAGAGAACACGAAAACAAAACAAGAATGGGTGAAAAAGTTACAATGACATGTCAGTAGATAATACACCCATTGAGAGTGTCCTATTTCAATGAAATAAAATAATTACGGAGATTTTCTTTTAAGTTTTCGGCATATTGCAGCGTAAATAATAATAATAATTATTATTTACGCTGCAATAGTAATAATCAGATTACACCAGCTTTAATAACGCACTGGCTAGTAATACATAGTGGTATGAACTGCGTAACAGTGTATTTATAAATAATTTTTCTGAAAGATACACGTGACTCTGTATACAAAATAAAAAAAGGACCCTCCTGAATAACTTTTGATCTAATGATCGGATCTTCACGTTCTAAGACTCATTCCTAATGGTTTGAGAGAGTGACATCAAATATACTAATTACTAAGTGCAGACAATATTTTAAGTTAAAAAATCAGACATGAAAACGTACTTTCTCTAGAAAAAAAACTTTTTCTTTCTTTCACGGATTCGAATTTTTGACTCCCTAAATGTAGGGGGTAGCCGCACTGGGAAATATGGCTTCCATAGTTTGAGATCAGGAGAGCACTCCAAAGTTTAGACCCCTTAATGTTAATTTTTTGCGTATTTCGCTATATCTCTAGAATTTTTTAAGCGATTCGAAACATTTTTGCACACAAATATAAAATTCGTTTATGCAAAGATAATTCCATTCAAAAAATAATTTGTAACAAATATTTATTATTATTTATTATTTTATTTAATAATGGTCAAAAAAAATTTTGAATTTTAAGTCATAAAAATCTTTCTTCATTTTAATGAATATAATTTTGCATGGCAAACAACAAAATTTGAGCAAAATTGATTGAATAGCTCCTGAGAAATTAAATTTCATAAAAGTCAGATGCTTAAAATTCGATTACGAGGTATTTTATTCAGAAGTTTTTTTAGTTTGGAATTCGTAACTTAAAATATCCTCTGCAGCAATTAATTAGCCTATTTGAGGTCACCCCCACCCCCAAGCCATTAAGATTGAGTCTTAGAACGTGAAAATCAAATAATTAGATCAAATGTCATTTAAGATGGTCCGGTTTTTTTTTGTTGAGGGGGGGGGGTGGCACTGTACATCTTTGACATTTCAGCATTATAGAGTACCTCTGGCGTTGTCAATTTCCTTTAAATAACGATTTGGCAAAGTAATAATAAACAACTAATTCTTTTCTAACTTAAAATATTTTAAAAGTTGAAATAAACCCTTATGATTAAGGGTTTCCCTAATGCAGATTATTCTTTTTGGAAATATAATTATGAAAGGCTTACATTGAATAGACTATTTCTTTAAAAGAGGGAATTTCTAACTTTAATATCACATTAAGTAAAACTATAATTAAAAAAAGTTATACTAACAGTTATACTGTCGCAGCAAAAGTTTCTATTTAAAATATAAACTTACTTAAGAGATCTCGAATCCACGTAATAATCTTGCTCATTTCATCAGCTAGCAATCTATCTCGTCGATTACGATAATGCATGATCTTCATGAGATGGTTAGCCAAGATAAATATTCTCGTTTCGTTCGACAGCTTCAGTCGTTACTTCGGAACTGACACTCAATTAATTAGACGATTGTTTGGTTGTGTATTTTATTTTCCAAAATCAAATCATCTTAAAATTTTATAGTAACCAAAAAGAATCGAATGATTTCTTGAACAATATAAGATTTTCTTTACTGAACAAAACAATAAATTACTTTGCTTTAGAGTTACAAAAATAAGGGTTTTTCAAAGACAAAACTTTTCTTTAGAATCGGCACAAGCAATTCATTTCGGAGAAGAACTACACAGCAAAAGATTTACGAAACTACTAATTAAAAAGAAGTACCAAACGATATTTTTCTCGAAAAACTTAAAATCTTTTTCTCTTGAAAAGAAAAGTAAAATCGTCTGCTGTAGCGCTGAATCGTTAGTTCGAAAATGCTTTGATCAAGACGGGTCAAAAGAAGTTCGAAAATAAAAATTAGTTCAACGGTGCCACAAAGTGCCGAGCACTTCAATTGAGTTGAAGGAAGGCGATTTCTAAATTGGGTGCTTAATTTTGATTGAAATTGGAAAACGTATCGAACTTGTCCTCCAGCACCCAAATGCCTATGAATCTCTACGTGAGGTGCATCTTCCTCAAATCTGAAAGAAGAAATTGCGTGGACGGGAGTAGGTGCCGTCACCGTGACCGTGAAACGAGGAAAAAAGTAAATCAAAATTGTAGGTAATTCTCGCTTTTTACGTGAGGGGGTGTCATATAAACAAGGAAAATTTAAATCATTCAAGAGCAGCCAGACATTTGCAAATGAGTGAAATGTGTATCTTTTTGAGAACACCTACGAAGATTGTTAGACGAACGCAGCTGAGATTTAAAAACGTCAATATCATTCCAATGATACCGATTTCGAAAGGGTTTTTAATAGTTAGTTTGAGTTTTCCATTTATGTGATACCAGGAAGTTGTTTTAAGTTCAAAAAGAGTATATTTTAAACACGATATTTGGAGCTATTAAAAGCTTATTATTGTTTAGAGTAGTCTTGAATGTTTGCTTTTAACTTTACGCAATGTTTTGCTTTCAAAGAATAATTGCTAATGCAAAGTATTTATAAAGTCATTCGAAAAGCATCTAAAGATGTATATTAGATTTATTTAAGCTTATCTTCAAAAAACTAAAATAATGAGAAACAATTGCAGGCTATGGGCGAGTGGAGCCCATCCTCGCAGAAAATTATAATAAATAAAAAATAACAATAATACTAACAATATAAAACTTATGCAGCTTTGGCGATTTTTTTTTTGAAAGGGAAATATTTAAAAATAAAACAGAACATACTGTCCTTTTCTTGGGATTAATTTTATTTTTCTCGCAATTTCTTTCAGGGTTAAAGAACAAAGGATTTTATATCATTTAAAAAAATAACCTAGTTGACAAGGGGTGGCTAAACACGAGTTTCACTTTTGGTCACGAAATACAAAATAAGAAAGCTTCTACCATGAATTGAAGAAGAATCCATTGTTTTGTCCTCGAAATTCAAAATTCGGTATGATCACTTGGCCGTATCGCCTAATCAGATTATAACGGCTATGGACGAGACCTTAATAACACTTTATGTAGCGGAACTACGTATAAGTAGCAAAGATATTAGTCTTCTTTTCTTTCTTTCGTTTCTTCTATAGCAAGTTATTCTGCTGAATGACGAGGAAGTCATCATCTAATGTGACTAACCAAGACGAATATCTTTCTTCGTTCTTTCCCCTCATAAAATCTTAATTAACTTCACATTCTATGGGCTGTTGGAATTATAGTCAATGCGGTCCTTGATATCGGGAATGTTTTTGAGTGGTCAGCTTCTTTTCAAATTAAATTATTTTCCAATCCAAATTAAGTTTATATAGATTACTTGAAATTATTAAAGAAGCTTTTCATAAAATAAAAATGTGGCATCTTTATTTCCTAAATTAATTTTAAATAAACTGAAAATACTAAGAAGAGCTTTTCTTTAAAAAAGAAAAAAAAATGGTAACAACTTTATAACCCAAATTGCATTAATTTATGCTTGAAAATATTAAAAAATCTTTTCTTAAAAAAATTGTGGCAACATTATTACCCAAATAGCATTAAATTAGAACTGAACTGAACTGTAGGATATCTGGGTGCCTGAGGTCACGTGCGGCCTTTTATCCATTCATCTTGATCTTGATCAATGTGGTGGTGGGATAGCAAATGGAGTAACACATTTAAAAGAGCCTTACAATAATAAAGTATCACCTGAGCTTTTTTTTCTTAAAAAATAAATAAATAAACAAATAATGGTAGCTCTATTCTTAGCATAATTGTGGTCCTGAACCGAATAAGAAGGTGTAAGTTCAAGAATCAAAAATCTGAAATTTAGAAAAAATATAGAATGTCCAATTAAGATTGAACCACTAATAATATTTTTTTAATGATTTAACTTATTAAAATGGAAGAGTTCAAAAATATTCCAATATAAGATGAAAAATTCAATATCACTCTTCGAATTATATTAATATAACTTTATAATTAAAATTTAAATTTTTTTTTTGAGTTAAGCCTTCTTATTTAATTGCTTTTTAAAAACAGTATTGTGTAAGTACATTTTAGATGGATTTGATCGCTACCCCTATTAAAAAATTTAACAAATCGTAAACTCCCCCCCCCCTGTATACTTTGATTAAATTTTTTCCCTCGTAAACATAAACTTTTTCTGTAAAAGTTAATAATAGGGAATTATTATTATCCTTTTCTAAAAGAAGATTAACGTTTTTAATCAGCATTGCTTATACACCCTTTACGTCTATATCAGAAAAAAAAACTTAAACCCCGACGTTTTATGTGTTTACATAATATTTATTAATAAATGGAACCAATCTATTAAAATTGTATCATTGTTGGCATTTTTAAGATGGAACAACTACAAAATTTCGTTTTTTAAGTATAAGATTATTATTTTTGGGCTCTATGGTTACCATATATGGCAACGTTACTTTTAAAAAGTAACGAGTAAAACAAAAGTACAAGTATTTTTAAAAAAAGTAACGAGTAAAAAGTAAAAAGTTCTTATTTGAAAAAGTAACGAGTAAAAAGTACAAGTAAAAGTACAAGTACTAAACAAAAAAGTAACGATTTAAAAGTACATTTCTAGGAAATCGAAAATTCAAAGTAACCTAAAATTTTATTGAATAATATTCTTATGTTCTTTAATGTTTTTGCAAAATTGTTGTTATTTATTTAATTATTTTTAATTTTGAAAGTTATGGACATTAATTTATTTTTAAATTCGGAAGAATATTATAATATAATTTTATAATATAATCGTATAATATAATTTTAAAATCAAATATAATTTTAATATCAAACTTTTTATGGATTTGCACGAAAAAGAAATTTTATCTATTGATTTTAATTTTTAGTTTATTATTTTTATTTATTTAAATTACCATTGATTTAAAATTGTTTTACTCTATAGAAACGCGTTTTAAAAGCACAAACATAAACAAAGCAAACACGGGGTTTCAGATAGCTTTGTGATCTTTGAGCTAGTAAAAAATAATTGAATGTGCAGTATAAGTTGAAACAGAAGGTATTTAAACACGAAGTTAGCTGTGAATGCATATATATTGCACATTAATTTTATAAATTAAAAAAACATAAGCATTTTTTTTAAATTTAATTTTTTGTTTTTTTAGAAAGCTTACCGAGTTTTAGAAAAAAGTAACGATTTCATTCGATATTTCCGTTACAAATACTTGTACTTTTTCCCTAAAAAAGTAACGAAAGTACAAGTAAAAGTACTAAATTTAAAAAGTAACGAAGTACAAGTAAAAGTACGTACTTTTTACTTGTACCGGCGGTACAAGTAACGAAAGTAAAAGTACTGCCATATATGATGGTTACACACATACTATGGTTACATACATACATATTCCTCTTCACTCCGAATGGGAACATAGAGCTTCTTTCATAGTTTTCCATCCCAGTCTATTTGTACCACCCTTTTATTCATGGGAAGTCTGGCAGGCTGGATTCGTTCCTCCCGTTCTCATGAACGAGAGTCCAGTGCTCTGCCAACCAGGCAATTAAAAATATTGTTGAAGAAAGTACATTACCCTATCTAACACCGGAATCAAAATTGAAACATTCTAATTGTTGGCCAGTATGGATAACTCGCATATTGTAATTTTTACACATATATCTGATAATGTTTAAAAAAACATTCAGGAATTCCATGGTACTTCAACAGCTTCCATAGTATGGTTATTGATACCTTATTATCAATGCTAAGCGTGGGTATTGTTATTGATCACAAATTGTTTTCTTCGTACAAAAACATTTTGAATCAGTAACCTTACTTTTTTTAAGTCTGCATGAAGAAGGTAGACAGCAAAAAACCCTAAAGCTGGTATCTATATTTAACAAAAATTTGGTGTGGATAATATCATCAGAGAACAAAATACCAGCTAAGAAAAATCTCGCGTAGTATCAAATAATCTAATAGCATTCATTATGTAGTTTTTGTCGTCAAACCCATAATATCAGAGCTAACATAATATGCTATTATAAAAGACCTTCATTTTGAAATTGAGATGCTGTTATGTCATATTTAAGACAAAACCTTGAAACTTGTTTTGCCGTAGAGATACCACAATGAGGTTTCAAGTGATGATAGGTGCATCACTTGAAATGCTCTTTTTTAAATGTATTAGATTTAATTTTCAATGTAGATAGTTATTTGCTTTTAATTGAATATTGTGTCGATCAGATAACGTGATCATCATAAACAACGCGTTCAATTTTAAGGAATAAAAGAATGCTCATTAGATATTATTTGTTTCGATATTAAATAATGTTTGTTTATTATTGGTATTGTATGTTTATTTATTATTGTTTATAGTAAAAACACTATAATTTTTTTCTATACTTTTATTTAAGAGTTTTTAATGTTACGAATCAAATATGAATCATAATATTTATAGCATAGCTGCAACATGAACGAAAGAAATTTCAATGGATTTTATAGTTTCAAAAAATATTTATGCAAATAGTAAATAAAATATTCCACACGAAAACTCCCTTTTTGTTACGCTGTTTTGTTCTTAATTTTGAGTGATAAAAGATAAGAATCATAATATATTTAAAGCTTAGCTGCAGGCATGAACGAAAGAAATTGAAATTTCAATGAATTTTATAGTTTCCAAAAATGTTCATGCAAATAGTAAAAAAAAAATATTCCACGCGAGAACACTCTTTTTGTTATGCTGTTTTGTTCATGATTTTGAATAATAAAAGATATAAATTTCATTTTGGATAGATATTACACAGTATTGAAAAACATATGGGTTATTTCATCATACTGATTTAATTTCTCTAGTAATAAAACTGCAGAAAAATGATGAGATTTAGTTTTTTTTTGTTCTTTTAATACAGTTAAAATAAATATTCTAAGATATAAACTAAAATTAAAAAAGGAAAATAAAATAAATGGCTAAATTAAGAAATACACTCGACGGGCTTTACTACATGCATATTTATGGAGTTATATGTAGCTAAATTTAATTGTTTAACATTTTAAATTCTATGAATTTTTTCTTTTGAGAAAATTAAAAGTCATATTGCATGCAATATACACTTT